AACAAAAACTAATAGAAGGAGAGAGTGCCAAGTGCCCGAGTTCATTTCATTTCTCTGTTCTAGGATATTATCTCAGGATTAGATGCTTCAGTAGTAGCTTTGACAGATTCCAGCCTTGTGAGCCTCTTCTGAGCCAGGGGCTTAGGCCTGTGCAGGTACGATGGAGACAGAAACCTGAAATGCATAGAGTTGGAATTTTAATGCCAACTACTATACAATTAAATTTACTTCCAGTTAAGTTACCAGCTTACTACTGCAGTTAGCTTCTTTGGTGATGGGTAATTAGCACATTAGTATTTTAAAGAAAAAAGGCTTCTGAGTGAACTGTGGGCATGACTAAAGATCTAATAGACATACACGGAGTAACTGAGAGTCTCTTTTAAAGGAGTTTGGACTAGTTAATAAGAGAAGAGGTTTTGCTCACTGTTCTCCTGTGGTTGTTATGCAGTTCTGCTTCTCTTTTGTGCTGGGTCTCATATGCAATGGGCATTTTTCCCTGCTTTATTATAGCTTTTTACCTTGAAACAAAAGTGTGCATTTTGTTTGTTTGTTTTGGTTGGACAATTTCCTATTGGTCTGGAGAGCTCAGGAAAAGGTTCAACATGTGTTAGAGCAGGTCAATAATGTGGGATTGAAGAGTGGGGAAGGGAGGAAGAGAGAGTGTAAAACTGGGTCATCTTTTCTTTTGAATCATAACTTTAGTCTGATTTACCCCAAAAAGCTAAAAACAGACTTTGGCTAACTGGATAGCTTTATGGGAACATGCTTGTAAGAGCAGGGGCTCCAGAGTCATGACTTTCCAGGATCTGTTTGATCTAGGAAAACTGTATTCAGATTCAATTTAAAATAAATGTGCCGCCTCTGCTGTTGAGGACGCTTCTGTAGCATACCAATATAACCAGAAAAAAAAAGTGTTTTCTGTTTTTGCGTGAAGATTGAACATACCTTCATGTGAGCAAAAGATGAAGGTTTTTAATGCAGAAAGACTGTAGCAAATTCTGTGGCGAGTAATGAGCAATGTGTCCAGGTACTTGGTAACAGAGAACCTCTCCGGTCTTAAGTACAAGTCTCCCTCATAGTATTTAGCAATGGATTTGGATTTTTGGTTTTGTTATTTTACAGTTGTGTTATGATTTGGGGATACAAAACCTGAAAATCTATCTACCATAACTATGCTGCTCTGAAGTTTAAAAGCAAATGCTAGCAGACAGATGGGTGCAGTCTTTAAATCAGGGTCAGGAGGGAGTGCTGAGCAGACATGTGAAAGCAGCCTGGGGAGGCTTGACACCAGCCCTTGGCTGAGTGGGACTGACAGTGCACCAAGACCAAAGAAGTGTGTCTGAGTGCTGTAAGAAATGAAGTTCCATTCTGTCCCTCAGCCTTTGGTCGTGCTTTCATTACTCCAGCTCTAAATCTTGGGAGAACTGTAATTCACCTCTGCCATCTCACAACTGTTTGTATTTCAAAGCAACCCAGCCTTTTGTTGACCAGTACAACAATGTACAAATGCCAGCAGTGAACACTTGAGAAGGCACTTCCCTGAAAAATAGGGACTTCCACTTTTTCTCCTTTTACCCAGGAAGACAGTCAAGAAACTGTTCAGTTAGAAGATGTAATCAAGTATTTTCTTAAGACTTTTGAATCTCTGCAATAATTCTAAGAGCCTTAGTATCCCTTTTTTACTTTTTCTCATATTAGTGTCTCTTTTTCCTTTGTTCTTGTATGGAAGTGCCCCAGTGACATGGTATATAGAGTGCTTGACTAGGTAGACATTGAAGTAGTGTGTATTCACAGTGGTATCAAAACGAACAATCTGAAAAAACTTGAACAAATAGACATGTTCTTATTTCTTTGGTTCTGCAGTTACAGTCATTATAGGAAGTTACAGAGTTATAAAAATTTTAATTGTAAAAGTTACATGTAACAACAGTAGTCTAGAATTTTTCGCAGAAAAGTGCAGCACTTCATTTCTAAATACTCCTGTAAGGGACAAGGTCAAGATTTAAAGTAACTTGACTTAAAACAGAAGAAGACCATATTCAGTCTGAGACAGTGCCACTCTTCCCACAGGAACAGAAAGTTGTGTATGTATCCTCACTGAGGGCTCATACTGGGTTCCAGATGGGAAATGTGAAAATAGTATTGTCTACAGTAACTTCTTTTTTCCGCAGTGAGATACAATTAACTTTAATGTGTTAAAACAATGGTTGTTTTTCCAGAAACCTGGCACAGGCAGTTCTTAAACACCTGTTCCCTAAAAATCCTTAGCTTACCCCAGTCAGTTAGGCTCACCTGGATACCCCAAATCGTCACCTGATGACTATATGGCTTTACAACCTTCCTATTTCCCCTTTTAAAAAACAAAACAAAGCAAGAGACACCAACCCTGCATCTTGAAGTGTGAGTCACAGTGGACCATAAAGCAGGCATGAGTTAACAGGCATATCTTCTTTTGATTGCTGAAAGTACCTCCTCAGAAGAGCAGATTAAGGAAGTGACTGTTTCCACACTGTCCAGGGGTGGGCTTTTGCTCATGGTGCTGTCATTGCCTAACCAAAATATGCTATGATCCCATGAGGAATTGATGGCATCTAGTAGGATGTGTAAGGTTGTGTTCAGTCAGATCTGCTGAAGTCTGTGCTGACTCTTGGCTTTTCAGAGACTGAAATCCAAGTGCGGATTTGAGCAAAGAGGAGTATGTCCAGCACAGATACAGGTACATAGATGCAACTTGACAGCGTCTTGCATAACACATTATGCACGGAGAAGCAAGTTCATGGGCTTCAGTTCATCACCTTCCTTAAGTTTAGTATCCAAAACTGGGCTATATTAATTCCCCACAGTAATCATGTACTAAAAGCAGCAAACTCAATGTGCTTGAACCTACTTTTGCTGCTGTTGAACATCACTGCAGTGTCAGCATAGTTGCAAAGTGTTTAAATTAACAAAACAGAGATTCCAGAGACTGATCAATGAGGTTGCTGGGAATTTAACATTAACTATGTGCCAACTTGAACTTATGCTCCCTTTACAGCCAGATAAAATATCAGAGCTCTTATGTTGGTGGTTGGAAGTAGCCTTATATTCGGGAGTCTGGAACCCATTCTCTCCTCCCTCTGTTCCTGTAAAGTAGGAGCATGTGACAGTGAAGTGGTGGGCCTGATCTTCTTAGGTCAATGTCTAATTTAGATGCCTAAAATTAGGCAATTGTAAGTATCCTATTTTTGCACTCCTGGGATCAGGAATAATCGTATCATTCCATTAAAATAGGTAGATGCATAATAAATTTTCCTTCCTCCCCCTCAAAGTGGGAAGGGATTTTGACATATATATATTCCATTTAAATAAAGACATGGGGCAAAAGTTGCTGTCTAGCCCTCCAGCTTCTCAGGCAAAGTGTTGACATTCTATACTCAGGTAATGGTAACAGCACATTGAATTTTTTATTTTCAAAATATTACGTTTTGCTTCCCCAGTCCCATATAGTCACAGAAATGTTTTAACTCTTTTCCTCTTGCATTCCAATTCAATGCGCTCTCTTTGGCAGCACATGTGCTAGAACTGGAATGATACAGAGAAGATGATCATGGCCCCTGTGCAAGGATGACCCACAAATTCGTGAAGTGTTCCATAAAGTGTCATTTTCACGTAAAAGCTGAAAGATCACAAAGCCCTTCTTCTTCCTTTTGCTTCTTCTTCAGTGGCCGGCATCCGAGGAGGACTCTGTCCATCCTGCCTTTGATCCCGAGCAGTGTGCTCCTGAACTGAGTTCCAGACTCCAGCGGAGTCCAGCCTGGGGCTTCTCCCTGGGGCTGCTCCACAGCGTCGGGGGTGGCGGTGAGGTATCGCCATCGGGGCGGGGCAGCTGGGTTCCATACTGGTTTTGTATAGATTTGTCTATATTCTATTTTATTATTATTGTTAGTAGTAGTAGTAGTATTTTCATTAAAGCTATTTTAGTTTTCTAGCTGATAAGTCTCTTCCCCTTTGGGGGTGAGTGGAGTTGTCGGGAGCATCTGTTCCAGGTCTGGGGGCAGTCCTGACCCTAAGTTGTGATACATGTACTGTTTGTGTTAGGAATCAAATATATTTAGAAATCTGAGGTGGGAAAAAATCCATGTCAGAACTCATCCAGTCTTTTAGTATGTAGGGAGTGGCACTGATACTCGGGGTATTCAGGGTCTCTTGAGGAGCAGTTAAACTGATGAAGGTGTTGATCTGAAGTGCTGCTTGGCTCTGCCAAGGGAAGAAAAGGTGGGAGAGAAGTGGAAGAAATTGTTTTACATCTATGTCCATATAATAGTTTCAGCTTAATCTTGTCTGCTTATGAACTCAAAGCATATAGAGCAGATACATAATTCATATAGTGTTGGGAACCAACACATCCTAAAAGTCCATGCTCTAGGTACTGTATATGCTGTATAGAAGGATGGTGTTTATATAATATCGAGGAGAGTCTACTTGCAAAATAAGGATCAAAGCTAGGAATTGACTTTCCTGGCTTAGGAGGTCTACACATCATTATTTTTGAGTTTAAAGAGATCCAAGTCATGTTAAATCCTCATGTTTTGTAAATTAAGATCTTTGTAGCATACAGGATTCTAAGAAGGTCGGTCTTCCTTACGCATGTCTGCATCTTGTGCTTTTTTCTGCATTAGTAAGGTAATGCAAAAGTAAAATGTATGCAATATCCAGATGCAAGAGTTTCGTGTTGTAAAACAACATGCATATTCTATGCAAACACCACAGAACTTCTTTACAGTGCAAAGAGAACAGAGGGGATGATATCCACCTGTTAAAGAGCTTATCTTCTACAGAAGTGGTGATGCCAAGTGCTGCATTACCTGAGTATTCTACATGTTTAACTTAGGGCACTGAATGCTCTTTGAAAATAAGCCCCAGTTATCAGTTTGAAAATTATTAAAATATGGACATTAAAAACATATCAAAAAGGTCAAAATTGCCAAGCTCTTACAAAGAATCCACATAGAAGATCTTACCTCTTTATGATGTGTTTTTTCATAAGACGGTCAAAAATTATAAGGCACGTTCTGAATTCCTTTAGGACTGCGTCCCAGGAACAGTGGCTATATTGCTTATCTTTTAGGAAACTGGTGATCCTTTGGAAGTACTTTTTCATGCTGAATATAGAGCTTTTCAAGATCCATGTCTGAAAGCTGCTCCTTGCTTTTGATCGCTCTTCTGACAGACATACCTCTAGTTCTTCAATTTGCTTATGAATTCCATTTTGGAATTTCTCAGTTATGCTGGTATTCCAAGCACCAACAGGAAGATTTTTGCTAAACAGTTGAAATTTCTGCTGGAGAAATTCATAGATGATCATTGTGAAATTGTTCTGTGTAAGCTGGGCAATCTCTATGGGGAATCTGAAATCAGTTGTTTTGCTGAGACATTGCTGAGAAAAATAGCCACCCATTTTGTGCAGAAGTTCCATGTTGTGATAGTTTGCCTTGATTCCTTGAAAAAGGCAAACTGGGTGTGAGATTTTGATGTACAACACCAGTGTAATGCAAATCTGCAGTAGGCATTGCTGGGTGAAGACGGTCATCCTGATGAAGAAGTCAGCACTATTCTCCTTGTGTTTTTCCAGATCTGGAAGCTTGCAGTTTTTTGGTTGTCTTGTCTGTGCTCAGAGAGTTCTTTTTCATGTCTCTGAATTTATTTCTTTGTATGACATGCTGGGTATTACTCATTTTGTAGGAATTGCATTTTAATCAGCTGTGATCCAGCCAAGGTTTACTGTTTATTTCAAACAGTTGCAAAGGTTTGCTCATTTCTGCTTTGACTGTATCTAAATGAAAAAAGAGTGAGTTAGTCAATCTGGTCAGTCAGAAGATGTGGACAGATTAGCAGGTTAGGGTGTGGTTCTTATATTCTTACTGGAGCAGGTGGCCGTGCTTTATGCAGAGAAGTTTTACTTTTATGCTTAATTTGGCCATGACACTGAAGAAGAATCTCATCTCCAGCAAACAGATACTCAGATATGCTTTCCAAGCAAGATGTAATTTTATTGATTTAAACCCAAATGTCTTCTTTGGTAGGTCAAATGGTTTTGCCTGAGGAGTGGCTTACATTTTATTAGCAATATTTTGCTAATAAAGCCTGTTGTTGACATAAGCATTGACTCACTGCGGGCATATGTTGCTATCACGATGCTGACAAAAATGAGGTCTATACAACTCTTAAGACAGATGCCTCTTTCTCCAAAATCTGTTCACTGCTCCAAGAAGCCACCTTCTACTTCATCACTGGATGAATCAGCCTAAATTTTTTAGAGCCTTAAAGAAAGCATGCTTTTATGTAAAGAAGAGGAATCCCTTACCATTTCAGACTAAGGAAATGTCTCTTCTGAAGCTTCCTTCTGTAAAGACAAGCTCTCAAGGAGATCAGAATTACTTGTGTTGGTAGCAATATGTCCTATTTTCAGTGCCACCCCAGCCAGTGTAATGCTGGAATGTGTGTCCCAGTGCCTGGCCAGTGTGCTGCTCTGAGTATCAAGTCTTTGGGACGTCTTGTAGTAGCACTGCAGGTAGCCACCAGCACGTTGGTTGAAAGTGCCCGAAACAGTCTCAGCCTTCTGTAGAGACAGTTCTGAGATAGTGCTACATAAGCACCATGGCTTAAAATGAAAGTGCTTGGTTGGTTCCTGAATGTGCACTAGCAAAGTGCCATGTTTCTAGATACTGCTGGCTTCCTCTCAGGCAGCATCAGCCCTTTTAGGTGGTTAGTCACAAGACAAGAACTCACTGGTGACTGAAAAGAAAGACCGGGTTTTATATTAAGATAAGCGAAAGTTGCAAGGAAGATTTACTTCTATTCTTGTAGGAATCTTTAAACTTTGATAAATCTATATGTGAACCAAAGTGATTTGGTCACTTGAAGTGTATAGAGAGAAAGCTAGTGGATATGCCCTTACATAGGTCAGCCTGCATAATTACAGGGATTTTTGAAAAAGAATATGAAAATGCTGAAGCTCAGGAATGTTTGATGTAAGCAGCAAAGGAACTCCTGGATGCTGTAGAGATTAAAAAGTGTTTTGTTAAAAAATCCCAAGTCTTGTTCATTCCTGTGAGGACTTTTTTATAATGTGACATTGTGAAAGACTGTTATTGATAAGCAGTACCTTTATCAAGCCATAGGATGACTTCAGCAGTTATACAATAGGACCCTACTAAAATATTAATGTTCGTGTGGTTATTCTTGTTTTGCTACTGGTGATGCTATTGCTGTAGTAATATTGTGGTATTTTCATAAACTATCTACACCCAGAGCTCTTCAGAGAAGTTAAGCTACTGATGAAGTTGTAGGGAAGATGGTTATGTGTTTGAAAGACTGGACAGGGAATCAAGAAGGCTGCAGTGACTTTAATGCACAGATTTTCCACAGATACCTTTTGGCAAGACATTGAATTACTTTCTCTTTAAGATCACAGTTTGTTTTAATGACAGTATCATTATATTTCCCCTGCTTTTTGTTTGCTGTATCTGTGTTTCTTAGCACATTTATGGTATGTAAGACTTCTAGCCTTGCCTTTGTTACAGATTTTTATTTTTTTTTTCGAAGTCTGTGCATGTATCAAAATTGTTTAAGCTGAACTGTAATTAACGTGTAGTATTAGGAAGATCAGAATATGTAATTGAAGTTTAGTGCAGTAAAAGGTTACTGAAGCTTGTAGTAAAGCTATAACAGTGTGTTCTGGAATTAGGTCTGTCCCAAAAGGTCCCAGGACACAGAATGCGTGTACTAGTCGTTACACACAGCCTAAAGCAGCAGCAAATTTGTTTCTCCAACTTCTTCTATGCTGATGTAAAGTTAGTTTCAAAAAAGGCAGCAAAGCATTTTTTTAACTAAGGAGGTTATAGTGTCAGAAAATTCTGGTTTTAATAGACTTGACTGAGGAGAATAAAAGTAAGTAGTGGACTGAACTGCATCCTGATGCACAGCTGGAAATACATAGTGAGAGATTAGTTAAGTTTACTGAGCTGAAATGGGTTAATTCAGAGTGTCATATGAGAATAAATCATATCAGATTCGTTCTATGTTGTAGGTAGAGTAATTGGATTAAGAATGTCTGCACAGTAACGCTAAAGAGATGACAGTCTGATGCAAAAGCCTTATCCTCAGGAATACAGTTTTGATGTCTGGCTGCGATTTTGATAGTTCAGTTAAGAATTAAATGCTAATTCATCTCACCTTTTATTTGCAGTAAAAACCTCAGGACAGAATTTCAGTTTGGTGTACATATGCATGGCTGTGTTGCATTAAGTGGACATTAGATGATCTCTAGGGTCCCTTTCAACCTAATAAGCCATTTTATGATTCTTTGTTATTGAGGGCTGTACAAGTAAAGCAACACTTGAAGGGATAAGAAGCAAGGATTGATCTTTAGTGGAGTGTCTGCCATGGAGAAAGTTTGGAGGTCATAGCCTACCAGCAAAACAGAGATGAAATACCCTGAGAAGGCTGCTTGGCGTTCCAAGGGAATTTCCATTTGGCTGCATTGTCAGACTCTCTGTGTTAGATTTTTGTGACTTTAATGTTCTCATCTGCTTGCAATCAATTGTAATAAACAGTTAGACTAACATTATTGTTCATCTGTCTGTAAAAAGTTCATCTTGGCGGCCAATAAAATAGTAGTCAAGAAAACATTTTCGCAGTGACAGGAGATGTAAGGTTCCTGGTGCTTTCTCAGTTGTACTAGTCAGTGTAAAATTGTGTAGTAAAATAAGAAATGAAAATGCCAGACTAGATTCCAGGAGTGATACTCACTTGGCTTTCCTGCTGCGCAGTGTTTCTTTCTGGGAAGAGTGCAAGTGTCACTGCGTTTCTTCTCTCAGCTGTCGAAAACACTTAGGCCTGAATCACAGAATCAAATAAACGTGATAGGGAAAGGTCCACCCAGCCAGCTGGTCTACCCTCAGCTGCAGAGGAAATGTTGTGCTGCATATGTTTCTAGATACCTTTGTCAGTCAAATTACTCTTGGGAGCAAACCACCAATAGAGCACAGATGATGTTGAACTTAGGGTGAAGTTTTACCACACAGAGAAATCAGTCTAGTATCTCATACCCAGAGAGCTGGTCCTGTTTCTCCTCTCTTTGGTCTTAGGACTATTTCAGCTTAGGAAACTAATATGACTGAAAAACAAACCCCCTTCCCTTTCTCTGATAAGGGTAGGGCAGGGAAAGGACAGCTTTTTGCCTGCTTTTCTAGCTTGAACTGACCTATCAGAATAGAGCTGGTGCTGGCACAGAGGGATGACCAGAAGAGCATAGCTGTTAGCACAGGAGCAGGACCTGCTTTCATCGGCAGGCAACTTCAGATCACCTGAGATAATATATTGAGGCTCAGATGACCTGATGTTGCGCATTTCCCATGGTAAGGCCTCTGAGGAAAAAAAAAAATTATTTTCTTTTAGAGTGAGTGGTGCTGAGAATTTGGATCAGATCTCTTTGCTGTTCTGACCTCCTTTCACTCAATTCTGCAGCTCCTTCTTGTGTTCTGTCAAAGCTTTCAGAAGGTAAGGCAGAGGCCACGCTGTAGCTAGTTTTCCGTTCCATATGTGCTGAGTGATTAGGTTTTTCATTAGTGAGATCAGTAGGCTTGTTTTCATCCCTGTCCAGCTGATAATTTTGTGAATTCTAGACAGTATTTATTTTGAGGTTTGGACTGCTATCACAAACATTGTAGAAGCTGGATGATGGTTTGGAAAGTTATTGTGGGAAGCAAGACAGATAGTTGGACTGTGTAGCTTCTTGTTTCTAGGAAATCACTTGAGAAGTATAATAGAGATGCAATTACATATTTTCCATTAAAAAATTGTTAGGAGTTAATAACGCACTTGGGTAGTGTATCTTTGGAGTTAATCATTATTACCAAATGTAGCTTCAGTGGACTTTTTGTGAACACATGTGAAATAAGGTGAGGATGGAGAGTATTGACATCGACTTGGATTGACAACACGAGCAATAACTGTGCCAGCTTCTGCTGGTTTGGTTTTTTTCCCCCCACCCTCTACGTATTAGTGTTTCAGATTAGCTTTGTGTCCCCTGGTGAGATGGTCACATCATGAAAATGATATTACCAGCATTTCTAACAGCTGGCCTTGCTAATGATCTTGGCTAATTAGTTACATGTTAAATGGTTTCAGAGAAACTTCTCTTTGTGGTTGATGAATTATCAAGTAACAAAATTATTGTTGAAGGCGCTCGTAAGCCTTGACAGGAATGTGGGATCACATGGATTCCTACAGGGGGGCAGATTCTGAGTCGGGAACAGCTCATGTTGCTCCATGAAAATATGACTTTGTTCCCTGCCTGCCGTGTGCATAGGAGTGTTTTGGTTACCATCCATACTCACACTTCACACTACATCAGAAATGGTACTTCCTGCTTGAAGACTCCAAATGAATCCAGTGGCTTTCAATTCATTTGCTGTGTAGATTGTGACTCCAGAATTTGTACCATGTGTTTTGGTTCTTATGATTTTCCAGAAGTCTGTCTGTGAAAGAGCTAGATGGGATTCCCAAACACTTACTCAGTCTTTGATC